ATTTACACTATATTGGAAAATATAATTAATTATTTTGGGTACTAAACAAGTACTACGAGTTTATTGACCCGTAAAATGAAGAAATTTACAGTTGCCACTATCACAATCTTTTAATTCAATTTGTGCTATAAGTTTTTTATAAATCGACATAAATTGCCGCGCCGTGGGATTGTTATTACAGCCTCCATGTGCTCTTATATGACCAAAAGTCAGTTCAAGGTGATCTTGTGAAAACTTATAGCCTGGTAAATACTGAAGTTTCTTTTCATCTCCTATTACTCTAATATATATTTCTTTTAAGCTGTGTATACTAGTTAATAGTAGGACTATTAACTTTATTTATTAAAGCCCGTTTTTTTATTTTTTTCTATTACGTATTGCCCGTTATCAAGTTGAAGAGTTTTTAAATAATTTTCAACTTTACCTAAAAAATTAAAAATGGTTTCTTTATTTCTAAAAGAAATAAAGAAAACCTTTTTAAAGGTATTAATAAAATAATTTTGGTTCATATTCCGTGAATTGACAACATCGAATAAATTGTTCAAACTTTTCCAAAAAGTTACTGTACCATCTACATCTGAAAACTCTGTGGTTTAACTGGCAGCAATATTTGAACGCATCTGCAACACTGTTGCTCATTAGCTGGGTTGCTAATCTTACTTTCATTTTTTTGATTTAAAAAAAAATAAGTGACCTCGTCTAAGTTTATTCGCTAAATGAAGATGTCCTTTTTTCTGCAAATTAGTTAATTTAACTAAATGTGACCATTTCAATTGGTTCCCATTACAATCTTTTACAACTACCACTAGATTCAAATGAATTCCGAACAAGCTTAATCATATGGCAGGCGTCGAGAAAAATACTAACAGGTTTCCCTGCAACGGGATGTTTAAAATTTGTCACCATATTATGAACCTTAAAGGAACAACCGAGTTTTTTTGCCATATCTGTATTAACCGGACAACCGTCAACAGCTATGGAGATACGAGGGCTGCACTAAAAGTATCGGGAATAGAATATTTCCACTGTTCCTGTCATATTAAAATCTTTTTAATAGAAAACTCCTTACTTTTAAAAATCGATTACCATTTATTTATTTAAAAAACGATTCTCAGTCTTGCCACAAGGTTTTATCTAACTTGTTTAGTCGTTGAGAAAATGGAATTGACTCGAGAAAATTCAAGAGCGATGATTTATTAAGACTCGAAGTGGTTTAACACAAACACAGTGTGTTGACCGGATGATTTCTGCATTTGGTGATGAAGCCCCATCCAAAACCACAATTTATCGCTGGTTTGCTGAATTTCAACGTGGACGTGTCAAGCTCAGTGATGATCCCCGTCAAGGTCGTCCAAAAACTGTAGTTACCCAAGAAAACGTTGATGCTCTTAGTAAGCTGATTGAGGAAGATCGACATGTGACATACCGCGAAATTCAGGCAACTTTAGACATTGGCATGAGTCAAATACAAATAATCTTGCATGAACAATTAGGTGTAAAAAAGTTGTTTTCCCGATGGATACCGCATTCGCTCTGTGAAGAGCAAAAAGCGGCTCGCGTTACTTGGTGCGTCAGAACTCTAGAAAGATTCCACGTAGGATCCTCAAATGTTGTATACAACATCGTATCAGGTGACGAATCCTGGATATACGCGTACGAACCCGAAACAAAAAACCAGTCACGAGTTTGGGTGTTCGAAAATGAGTTAAAGCCAACAAAAATTGTTCGTTCACGGAGTGTTGCAAAAAAAATGGTGGCCACGTTTGTCTCCAAAACCGGCCATGTTACGACTATTCCTCTTGAGGGACAAAGAACGGTTAATGCAGAATGGTATGCTAGCATTTGTTTGCCACAGGTCGTTTCTGAACTCCGTAAAGAGAACTGCAACCGCCGCATCATCCTCCATCACGACAATGCGAGTTCTCACACCGCACACAGAACAAAAGAGTTTTTAGAGCAAGAAAACATAGAATTATTAGACCATCCGCCGTACAGCCCCGACCTAAGCCCTAATAATTTCTATACTTTCCCTGAAATAAAGAATAAATTGCGTGGACAGAGATTTTCATCACCTGAAGAAGCTGTGGACGCCTACAAAATGGCCATTTTGGAGACCCCAACTTCCGAATAGAATGGTTGCTTCAATGATTGGTTCCATCGTATGGAAAAATGTGTCAAATTTTGCGGAGAATACTTCGAAAAGCAATAAATACATTTTAAATAGTAATGTTGTGTCACTTCCTTGATTCCCGAAATTTTCAGTGCCGCCCTCGTAACATCGATTGCTGTTGAGTCCAAGCACTGCAGTACTAAAGCTGACTTTTGTTCTTCCGATAGTTCATCTACAAGGAAATAACCAACGGGAATTTTCTATGACGCATTAATGGCTGTTATTAAAAAAAGAACGCTTCTTTAGCTATTTTAGAGCTATCCCCAGTACCAACGTTTACATAGCCATGCATCCGTTTGCCATGCCACTCTAAGCGTTGACGTTTCGTCTATTACTAAATTGCAAAGAATAGGATTTTTACTGACTTTAACTTTGGCTCTAATCGCATTTAGTGCTTCTGTTTTGAATCCTATTTCGGCATTAATTGATTGGTACCATTTTTTTTAATGTCTAAAATGTGTTAAATTTTGTTCTTACAAATGCGTAAGCTTTTGGAGAGTAAAAATGCAAGGTCATCGCAATTCTCTGAAAATTTAGCACGCCTTTTTTCCTGATTGTAAAGTTAGGTTATATCTATCAATCAAATCTTGTATTGTCAAATTCATGTTTTCTAAAGTCAAAGCCTGATCTCCAGTTATTAAGCGCTTGTTCTCTAAATTTAGCATGTGTTTTAGTTCTAGATTTATTTTCTTATATCGCCGTGTTTTACATTGCGATCTCTTAATCATCAAACGCTGGCTTATAATTACACCTTTATTTGTCTCGATTATTCGACGTAACTTATTTTTTCTGGGTGTATCAAGATCAATCGATGGTTAATTTTCCGTGTGCTAGAACGATAGATTTAAAATAAAAAAATTGTTGCTATGAAGCGAAGTAAGGAAAATTAAATAAATCAAGGCTTACATTTGAGGATGGTAATGGGAATACACATTTGCGTGAAGGAGTATATGGTAACGTAGACGTTACCATCTACTCCTACTCGGATGTTGATGGAATGTTTGCTGCGGACTGAAAATTTGATATTATAATACAAAACATAGTAGAGTCACACCCCGGATACTCAATAAAATTTATATGCTATATTTTAAAAATTACATCCGTTACGTCGTGTCACTGATCGTGATTTTTGGACTTGAGCTAGTGTTCTGCCGCTTTGAAAAATTATTATATTGTTTTTATGTTTACAATTTCGGGACATAACTTCCATATATTAAATGTGGGTATGCTTGGTTTCATTAAATTGCGTCTTTTAGCAGTCGCATTAAAATCATCTTCCTGAAAATTGAACAAATTCGACTATTTTCTGTAGCGAACCAGTTCCGTCTACCAGTAATATTTATCCACTTTTATTTAATATCAGAATCTTTCGGGAATCTAGAAATAAATGATAATTATGTTCTAGTAAATATAGTTATTTATACTTCCTAAAAAAGCAACATTTTCTTTACTTTTATCAGCATGCTATACATTTATAGACTTTAATACGCAAACTTAAACAAATAATTACATTCTTAGTGAAATTATTGTATAATTATTAATACGAATATTTTACGTTCAAATGTCGTTTAGTTTTTACGTTCGAGATTCTAAAAATATCCCTTTATACAAACGATATATCCCGATATCGATATAACCCGCGCTTTCATTCAAATGAATGATACGGTTACATCACTAACGTGCGACCGATTCCTGCAGCCGTATTGTAAACATACGCAATGTACAATTCACATTACATTGCTTGGCGAGTTTGTCAAAGTCGCGTGCGTTGCGTATTACGGTAGAACAAAAGCAGCAATGGTAATTCTACAATACGAAAAGAAATAAATTAAAATTTACAAAGGTAAATATCATTGTAAAGTATTCATCTAGATGTAAATTAGTTATAACAATGATAATTAGATTTACAACTGTGTACTGTCAAAGGCCGCATTTGTCAGGTGTGTGTAACCGGCTCCCGGTCGCAATACAGTCAGGGCTTGCGGCAGTTATTTCGTTCCAACTGGAACATTTCTAATTCTAATTAAAATTATAGATATTTATTAGTAAAGTATGAGTTATTCAATTATTCAATTTCTTTATCATTAGTATTAAATTGCACGGTTAAATATTACCCATAATGTATTTTATTATTACTAGTACTTTTATTTTTACTACAGTTACAGTTACAGTTTTATTAGTACTTTTATTATTTATTGTAAAAATAAAACAATTAATAGCTTTTATATGTTATTTTATCAACAGAATAAGATATTTAAAACGAAAAAATAATAGAAACGTCACATTTTATCATACATTTTTTTACACACTACTTGTTTTTATAAAAGGCACTAACATCAACCACTCTGCTTGGTATCTCAAGTGGCCTTCATATTTCTTAATGGTTTAAAAATACTCTTTGTATAAGGGTCAAAAATTTTATGTTTACAGTAAGTTGAGCATATCAGCTACAAGTTAAAATAGAAACATAGTTCTAAGATAAAATACAACTTTAGTAAGAGTTACACAAATATGGTACTTAAAATGGGCACAAAACACTGTTCATTTAAAACTTTTTTCTTTAGTTTTAGGTACATACTATCAAAAGAGTGTTATGACGGCTCCGTGGCGCAGTCAGTGCCGTCTTTAAGGCAGGGCCCGCAGGGCCCTGGCCCGAGGCCCCGAGGTAGGCAGGGGCCCCACAATTCTGAAAATTTTCGATATACAACAACAAATTTTATAACATAATAAGAAAAATATCAAATCACACACTTGGTAAAATAGAAACAAGATTTAGAAAATTTGTTTAAAAATTTATTTTTGCACTAAAATAACAGTAATTATATACAGCTTAAAAAACTTTTTTTCTCGATTTCTTCGCAGCAAAATTAGATATGAGTTCATCAAAATCAATCGATTTTAATAAGTCCGATTCTATACTCATTAAACTTAGATGATTCAATCGTGACTGTGACATTGTGCTTCGATGATCGGATTTTATCAACTTTAATCTAGAAAATGATCGTTCACCAGCACAATTGGTGATCATTAGGGTAAGGAATATTCGGAGACTTATTTCAATATTTGGGAATGTAGACGTCAGAAATTCTTTCTTCAGTTGCAAGTATAGATCAGGAATAAATAATTCTTCGTTCTTTCGTGTATCACGAAGATAATGTTTATAATGTAAACATTCTGATATTAAATTTTCTGCAGAAATGTCTTGATCATATTTTCTGGCAAGCTTTTCGCAGCATTCTTTTATTCCTTCGTATGTCATGTTTGGTAGAGCAGTAAAAAACTTGAAGTTATCATTCACCGTTTCGTAAGCAGTTTTTCTGGTTTTCAAATTGGAACAAAGTGAATCGATTATCGGATAAAAAATCTCTATTTTGAGCTTTTCATCTCCAGTAAATTGTGTATGTTCACTCTCTCCTTCAAAGCGAGTAAGTTTTACGCTTCTTCTTCGATTTCTTGGCTCAGATGTAGATTCACTTTCGCAGATATCAGTAAAGCTTTTTGCTTTTTCTAAAATCTCATCGAATTTATCCCTGATATCCAATAAATACAATTCTAAGGAATTTAAAAGACTGCATGCTATATACAAATCCATATTTTCTTTTTGTAAATTTTTAGATGTATCATTAATACGTGTCAAGATTTCGTGCCATACCACATTTATAAAGACATTTTCAAATTTTGTAATTTGCTTTAAAATGGTCTTAGCTTCAAGTCTAGTCTCGTTAGACTGCGTATCATCCTTTGATAAATCATCTAGAGCTTTCGTAATATCTGTATGACCTGTGAAAAGAGCGATGATTGCATCAGCTCGGGCTGACCATCGAGTAGCGGATAAAGATTTAACGACTTTTTTTTCGTTCCTAAATATGACAATAGTTTTTGCCATCTATAAGTCGATCCTGATAAAAATGTGTACAAATTTTGTACGATATAGAAATACTTAACGACTGCATTAACACATTCAGCTGCCTTAACGCCGACTAAATTTAACGAGTGCCCGGCACAAGGAATATAATCAGCATACTTATTGATTTCCCTTATCCTGGTTTGCAGTCCTGAATAGCGTCCAGACATATTCGATGCGTTGTCATAAGATTGACCTCTACAGTCATTTATATCAATATCATTATCTTTAAAAAATTTGACTACAACCTCTGTTAAATATTCGGCATTATGACCTTCTATAGGAACGAACATTAAAAAACGTTCGATAGGCCCCTGATCAGTAACGTAGCGCACGGTGAACGTTAATTGATCTAGATGAGTGATGTCCGGCGTAGAATCCACAGAAAAAGAATAATATTTTGCCTTCTTCAACTCACTTATAATGCAAGCAAGAACTTTTTCCCCCATAAGGCCTATAAATTCCTCACAAATATTAGCTGATAAGTATGATGTTACTCCATGTCCTTTATTTCCGTAGGTATTAATGTGCTCTTTAAGGAAAGGGTCATATTCGCTCAGTAATTCTAAAATACCTAAGTAATTGCCATTTTGACTAGATCCGAATCGTTCGTTCTCCCCTCGAAAAGCGAGACCTCGTGAAGCAAGAAACTTTATAGTGTCAGTTATTCGACGTAATACTTGAATCCAATAATTTTTCTCATTTTTTTGTTGAATCGTTAATGCATTTTCTAAACTACTAGTTTCTCTTCTCCGTTTAGAATAAATAGTTAAAGTTTGTTTATGAGCTTTGCTTTGCTCATGCCCCGTAATTCGCTCTGGGTGTTTCCAATCATTAAATCCGTAAAATGTAAATTGATCTTTTTCAGATGAAAAAAGTCGACATACAAAGATATACGTCCAGTTGATGGCGAATACGATAACCACTCACGCTCTACTATTTCATTATTTTGTAGTTTCAATTGAAATAATGATTTGTTTAGAGTTCTCACTTTTTGTTTATCTCCTTCTTGGTAAATCCGTGCAGATTTTGAGAAATCTTTATCCTTATTGCTGCATAAACCTGGATTTTTTTGCAACCAGTATAATCGTAACTTCTCGTTGATTTCGCCCCATAACGCAATATCAGTCGAATAACTTTCAATTTTTTCTGACGTGCTTCTCAATGCTGCCTCCTCTATTAAAATAAAATATATTTTTGTAAATCGCTTTTAATTGAAAAAAATATTTAAAATTATTCAGCTTTTTTAGAATCTAAATATTTACAATTTGAAACTCTTTATTTACCTTCTGTTCTATGATTTATAAGAACTTGTGTAGCTACTGATAATTCCGACTGTTCTGAAGGATTCAAATCGACTGATTCGTTTTGAATAACATTTTCCTGTAAATCAGCGGTACCTTTTGGCGTTTCATCATTTTTGCCTAATAAATAAAATGCAATGATCTTATTATCATACTGTTAGCACGGTTTGTTTCATAAATTAATTTCATAAAAATGATATTAAATCGACTTTTCATAAAAAAACTTTTGCTACATGCGAACAACAATGAGGTTATAGGACTCAATTAATGAACTAATCACTCTTAATTCAAATAATATATAGTATTACTTACTAGTAATGTCATCTTGTTTTAAAAATCCAGTAATTTTTGGTAACTTCTCTATTTTCTTTTGTTCTTCTTTCGCTTTTCGTTTTTTTGCAGCACCACTTTCATAAACACGATTCATGATTTTGATGTACTTCAAATGATTCGATAAACAATACTAAATTAACTGTTGCTACATCGCGTGAAAATCTGGTAATGAACCTGCTGGCTGTTTCACATGTCGAAACACGGACGTTAACTATTCATTTTCTCACCAAAAACAAAAGCAAGCTTAAACAAGTTTCTTTCAAAACAATCGCGCTTCTGCTTGCGCGCAAGAGCGCGCATGCGTAAGAATCCGAATGAAGATTTTGGCGCGTTAGTTTGAATATTGTAATTGAGAAAACGTTTACATGGCATTATAAACATTACATTTAATCGTTTGTTTAAAGAAATTAAAATATACGAAAATTGTAAATTGTAAGAAATTAAATGTATGCATGGCTAAAATTACGGGTATTTAAAACAAAGCAAATAAGTTAATTGTAAAGTAAAAATGAATTAAGAAATAAGGTGAAATGCCAAGTGTTCGTTTGAGAAGCCATTGAGAACTGAGGTCGATCCGGAACGAAGAAATATTGTAGTCCGATCTAATACAGCGGGGACAGTTTACGGCACTTCCTCGAAGAAAAACCGATAGCCCTTGTTTATTAAACAAGATTTGGCGCAGCATCGCGCTGTAGTTATAGACTTGGTATGCAGTGGCTCGCTAACCAATGCTGTTATAGGCTATGATGTCACGGATGACGTCACTTTCATATATTTGTATATGAATAAATATAAGTATTGTTCTTTGTATAGATTATAATATATGGTTTTCATTCAATTTTATTTAAATTAGAATTGGTGGGGTATTAGTTTTTTAGATTCAAAAAATTTATTTATTGAACTCTCATATGTGGGGTGTTAAGAGACGGGGTTACGATTTAGCCTATTGCGTTATTGTAAACTGAAAAATGATAAAGTTAAAATTTAAGGATTTTCCATCCCTTACATAGGCCCCAGCCAGTACCTTGGCCCATAGCCTCGTTGATCCTAAAGACGGCACTGGGCGCAGTGGCTTAGCAATGAGTTGCTGCGCTGGGGGGCGCGGGTTCGAATCCCGCACGGAACAAGTATTTGTATGGCCTACAAATGATTGTTCCGGGTCTGGATGTTTGTCCTTGTGAAATTTGTGTTTGTAAACTGCCTCCACGATACAGGAGAAAATCCTAGTGTGGGGGTAACGTTTTTTAAAAAAAAAAAAAAAAAGAGTGTTATATTTACCAAAATTTACATAGAACATGACTTTAATTCAAACAGAAAATAAGTTTGCTTCTTAGAAATATTTTAAGAACAATGTTGATAAAAATTGTGATAAAACAACCACTTTAGTCACAATGAGGTTAGAAAAATATGGATACGACTCTTTATTTTTGGTTGCATGAAATATTTTGAAATCATTTTTCTGCGTTTTAGGATAATGTTTCTGTATAGTTTTACTGTGGTGTGTGGTGTGGCTCAAAGCAGGTAAATACGCATAGGGGGACATAGCACGCTTTGCAATAAGCGGTTCTTCGTTTTTTATACACGGCGCACAAACTTCGCAACCACTCATGCTGTTTGCCGTCAACAAAGTCGTATTGTGCTGGCAAATGCCTCCCTGAAACTATAGGAGCCTCAACAATTTTGGCAGTCGTTTGATGTGTTGTAAATTGATCCACCAAAATTTAACAAAAATTTCGGTGGGTAATTTGGTGTTGTGATTTCAGTAATGTGTAAGCGTTTAGAACACTCACATTCAATAGCGTCTGAAAATTTTTTTGTACCACACTCGAGTGCGCTTTCGTTCAATCGGGAACATAGCGATCATTTCATCGTATCGGGTCCCCCCCCCCCCACGCCATACAGATATTACAATCCGATATGATCGAGGGCTTTAGAGTGTCACCACACCTAACAGATGCTAAATCATGGTATGTCGAAATAAGAGCTACGCGGTTCTTATCTCTCCATACCACGATATCCACATCCTGCGAGGTGCAGCCACACAATTGACTAATAGACATGTCACATTTTTTTAAGTTACTAATTTTTGTGGGAACCTTAGATATAGTATATACTCCATAGATTGGCAATCATATCTGTAAAACGAGACCGAAAAGTGATTGTCTCTGAGTGTGTAGATTGTGAATGTGTGTGTTAATATTGTTGTATCGTAATAATTTATCGATATCGATTAAAATAAACGTTAAATAAAATGTGATAATATTATGAGCGATACTGTCCTTATTTTATATGTCATATCATATCCTTTCGATTAAATCGAGTGGTCTTTTACATATATTTTTTTGTTGAATATCATCACGGCCCATTCATGTTCCACATCTTACCATAAGACGGGTTTGTAGGGTAGGGTTTAGTTTGAGTTTTCGATAGAGAATAATATTGTGTGCTTAGCCCAGCCCTTTACTCCTCGTACTTTAAAACCTCCAGGTTGGAATGGCATGAATACATAAAGAATATACGAAGTGAATATTTTCGCTTAAGGCTGAATATTAACGTCAGATGCTCTGCTAATAAGCTACTTTTGGGTAACAAGTAACTTTTGGGTGAAATTTCTGACTCGATTCTTATTCTATAGCATTGTAAGCACAATTTAGTGCAAGTAATGCAGAGCTTATAAAGGAAATGTTAGGACAGAAAATATATAATATATTTATTTAATATAAATATATTATATATTTATTAGTATAAATATATAATAAATTTATAATACATTCATATTTCTAGGAAAATAAAGAAATACTTACGACTAATACAATGATAACATTTGTAAGTACGAACTACAGTAGCCTAAACACGCTTGTGTGTTGCGGATGCTCCACCATCGGCGGATAATTTTTTTTTATTGAATCAATTTGATGCATTCGCATACGGCGATCCGTAGCATACTAAAACGTGATGGTGCGGACGCTCAGCGCTGACAGTTTGCGACCGATGACTGCAATTGACAAGGCCTTACGGTGTTTGTGTCGATATACGACTGTTTTTTTTATAAAACAATGTTGATAATCGAGCACATAGTCCACCTGAAGGTAAGTGAATGCTATGGCCCATAACAACATCGGTACTCGTATTTACCCTCAATTAATCATCAAAATGCAGATGCGTTGTTACCCTTGAGGACTAAGATAAGAATGCCTCGTTTTCAATAAAAAGGGTCTCCGGTTCTTTACTCACCATACGAAACACAACAGCATTAAGCTGCTATTTGTTTGCTGCTATTCTGTGAGAGCATGGTCCTACCCCAGTCAAGCTGACCCATTCATACTGTACAGCCATAACATAGCTGCAGTGTGGTAGTACCACTTAATAAAAGAATGTCTATCTGCTACAAATTACTAGATTTAATGTATTAGAGACACTAACTACAGAGAAGCAATAACTGTATCCGAAAGAGTGCTGCTAACATTGAGATATTTGTCAACAGGAGACTCCTATAGCAGTCTTCAATATCTTTTTAGAGTATCGAAATAATTTTTATCAACTATAGTTCCAGAAACGTGTTATGCAATTATAGACGCCCTCAGTATTATTATTTATCTGCCTCATATTTAAATAACGGAGCTGTCACCAAAATTAAAGTCAGATGTTACTGTAGTAGTAGCAGGAGTAAATTGTGTGTTCTGCAAATTTTCACCGGAAGTTATGGTTGACGTGGTAGTGGGTGGTTGTGTGTAATATCCTGGTCTATACATCTTATATTTTCCCATGTCTGCTTCGTGTATAAAAGTATTAATAGCATTTTTAACACATGATTGAGTGTAAGGATCGTATTTTCCGAGTTCATGTGCAATATGATTACCGAATGCTACACATGGATCATTTATGGAAGTAGAACTTTTCTCAATTATGGCAAAAGTGTCCTTCAATATATTGTCACGAGAATCATTTTGTGCATTCGTATTCAGCCGTCTTTTCTTTCGCGATGGTTGTGGCGATGGCAACGGTTGTTGTGGCAATGGCGATGGTTCTTGTAGCGAAGGCGTGGGTTCTTGTGGGGATGGCGTGGGTTCTTGTGGGTATGGCGTGGGTTCTTGTGGGGATGGCGTGTGTTCTTGTGGGGATGGCGTGGGTTCTTGTGGGGATGGCTCGGGTTGAGGTGGCTATGGCTCGGTTTGTTGTGGCGATAGCGTAGGTTGTTGTGGCGATGGCGTAGGTTGTTGTGATGGTCCTGGTTGTTGAGAAGAATTGCTCTGTAAAAATAATGTTTATCTTGTTATTTGCAGACACCGTCCACAGAAGAAGAATGGCTAGCAGTATCAAATGAATTTGAAATAAAATGGAACTTCCATCATGTTATAGGGGCTATGGACGGGAAACACGTAACTCTTCAAAGACCCATCAATATAAGTACTGATTACGACAACTACAAGAGTTTTCCTAGTATAGTGCTCTTCGCTCTCGTGGATGCTAATTACAAATATTTGTTTGTTAATGTAGTACTTGTAAGTAAGTAAAGGGCGTATTTCCGACGGCGGAGTTTTAAAAATACGATTTTATATCGAAAATTAGAAAACTATCAACTGAACATTCCTGAAGCGCAGATACTACAAATACCGTACATAATAAAAATACCATATTTCATATTGGGCGACAAAGCTTTTATGCTTACCAAATATGCTATGAAACCATTTGAAGGTAATCCAGAGGCGGGTTCCAAAGAAAGAGTGTTTAATTACAGACTTAGCAGAGCTCGCAGAGTCGTTGAAAATGCCTTTGGTATTTTAAGTTCAGTCTACAGAGTCCTTAGGAAACCTATCCTCCTAGAGCCAGAAAAAGCTACAAAAGTTGTCTTAGCAACGGTGTATTTATAATAATTACTTACGAAGAAATAACTATTCTATTCCACCAGAATATTATGATAGAGAAGTTGATGGTTCATTTATTCCAGGTCAATGGAGGAACAATATTCCATCTACAGCACTGTTACCTCTAACGGCCATTCCGCGCAGAGGTACTGTTAGTGCTAAAGATATTCGTCTACATTTAGCAACACATTTAGTAACAAACGGAATAATTCCATGGCAGCATCAATATTAATGTTCAACTAATTTTGAAAATAAACATAAATAAAGGACTTACGATATCTATTCCGCCTTCTTTTGTAATTCCTGTGTCATCTTTATTTGACATAAAGTCAAAATATTTGAAACCAAACCACTTCGATATATAAATTTCGTCAGCGCCTGTAACGAATATGTAGACGTTATAGGTTATTTTTCGTTTTCTACGGTGTGTCCTATAGCAAATGTTGTACATATTGATATTTGATAATGAGATTAACTAATCTAACATTCACTATAATTAAATAAAAGAATCCTTACCTGAACCAGTGATATTACTTTTTCTCTGCTTTGACTTTTCGCGTCGGTATGAAGCTGTCAATGAGTCAAGTTTCTTTTTCAACTCGGGTATAGGTAACTTCATTTCCTTAGAGATCTTCATCCAGCAATCTTCTCGCTTGCTTTTATTTAAATGATCTGGATCTTTCGAATCCCATAACATTTTGAAGCTTCCGTAAAGTTGTATTAGGCGAATACTGTCTTCTTTATCCATTTTTGATTCACTGGCTCGCGAGTGTCGTTACGTCCGTCCACACCGGGCGAGCAGCTCAGACTGAGCCGCCTTTGAGCATCGGCAAAAACCGACAACGCATGGCTCGGGGCCGAGCGGCGCTCGGCCGAGCCAACGTGTGCCCAAGGAAGCCCGAGCGCCGTCCACACTGGCCGAACTATTGGCTCGCGAGCGGGACTCGCGAGCCGCGCTCAGCCGGTCGTCTCGGAAATAAAATAAAGACTCACAAAAAATGTTTATTAGGCACCCTTAAAAATAATCATTTGATAATAAAACTGTCGAATACAATTTTTCTAACATTTCGCAGTTTATGTTCATACTTTATTCTTATGATAACAAACTTTTCAATAGTTAATTTTACTAATAAATACTTATGATTGTTATTATTACAACCCCTCGGGCACTTAAGCAACCGAAAAAAGTTTCTAAATGATCTTGTGATAATTTGTAATATGGGAGAAACTTAAGCAGATCTGAATTTATGTAATTATTATACAACATTTTAAAGATAGAATATTAAAAATAAAACCTAGGAAACCTAATTTTCTGGGTGAAGTTATAACTTTTTGGTTACTTTCTAAAGTTAAACTCTAAATGTACTTAGTAAACCTGTCTAGTTCTTTAAAAATCATATTGACATTATCTCAATAAATTTCTTGAGTTAAAAATATCAAAGTATTGTTGACTATTCTGATAAAACTGTAGCATTTCTCCCTTTGAATTCAGGAATATTTGTGGTATTTCTTTTCACAATATTGAATGCTGGTAGCAACAGAATTACTGGGTAACTGGGCTGCAAGCTTAACTTTCATTTTATTTTTGAAATAGTTAACATGTTTATATGTTAACTTATTAGCTTTTTTTTTATAGGAGAGGGGGTAAACGAGCATGCGGCTCACCTGATGGTAAATGACTACCGCCGCCCATGAACAACCGCAACACCAGGGGAATTGCAGATGCGTTGCTGGCCTTTTAAAAAGGAGTGGGCTCTTTTCTTGAAGGTCCCTAAGTCGTATCGGTCCGGAAAAAATCGCTGGTAGTAAACTATTCCACAAGGAAGTTGTGCGAGGAAGAAAACATCTTCTAAATCGCACAGTGGTGGACCGCCAATCATCCAGATGGTGTGGATGGTATCGGGAGTTCTGCCGCGATGTGCGTTCGTGAAATTTGGCGGCTGGGATTAATCCGAACAATTCCTCAGAGCACTCCCCATGGTAAATGCGAAAGAAAGTGCAAAGAGATGCAACATCTCTTCGCAGTGCCAATGAGTCGAGCCGATCGGAAAGGACTCGGTTGTCAACGATTCGAGCCGCTCTGCGCTGGATGCGGTCAAGTGGAAGGAGCTGGCACTGGGGAGCCCCAGCCCAGAGATGGGAACAGTATTCCATGTGAGGCCGAACCTGCGCCTTGTAAAGTTGCAGGCGTTGAGCTGGCATGAAATACTGTCCCGCTCTGCTGAGTACGCCAAGCTTTTTAGAGGCCAATTTGGCCTTCTCTTCCAAGTGACCACGAAACTGCACGTCACTCGATATGTCGACGCCGAGGATTCCGAAACTGGCTGAGGCAACAAGGGGAGTACCTTGAAACTGAGGAGATACGACAAAGGGGTTATTTTTAGCGGTAAACGCGCAAACTTGTATCTTCTGAGGATTAAACTGGACTAGATTTAGTCGCCCCCAATCCGAGACATTGTCCAGCAAAGACTCGACTTCAGACACAAGTTTGTTCCGGTACTCGGTGACTCGGCTTAATTTAATTCAATTTTTTCTTGTAATTCGTTTAAACTAGTAATGCAATAGTAAGATATGATGTCGTCTTTTTTACGATAGAAAGTCTTAAAATCAACAAAGGCATTTCTTATTAATTTTAATAAGTAAGTTAAGTGAACAAACCGAGCTATAGAGGTTACAAATGCACTCATATTTCCGTATTTGTTATTTTATAAATATGGCTGTTTTTTAAGTGCTAATTCATTTCAATACCACATAAAATTAATTTTTCATTATATTTTCTCAAAAGCTATTACATTTGTGTACTGTTATTAAGAAATAACGATAGATATCAAGTTGTAAACTTACTTGCGAAATGAGTAATGCTGGGGGTTATTCCTTTTGGAAGAATTACATCTTGGTACGGAACAAGAAACCATCGTATTACATACAATAAAGTTACTAGTTGTCACTATATTTAAGATAATATTTTTGCCGAAATGTATTCGCTCACTAATGACTGGGCCGTTATGTACCGGTTGCAAATATGTGTTTAGTCTCGCTGACAGGTTCACTCGCTTTTTCTTTCTAACATACGAAAGTACCGTATGGCGCCGTAGCTCTCTTTTACTCCTAAGCCCAATCTATTTAGTTTAATACTATATCTATGGTGGGAACAAACTGGTGATTTGTTTGAAGCGTTCCCACGCAGTCAAAGCCCCGAACTTTCAAATCTCGTGCAAGAGCTGGGGAATTGTAAAAATTATCCATCCAGATAGTATGGCCTTTGTGTTCATTTGAAAACCTGATCTATAGGATACGAGGAATCTTCTTGCCCTGCGTGGGCTTCGAAATGCCACAAGTAACCAGTCTGAGATTCACATACTTCGTAGGTTTTTATTCCTACTGAAGCAGCCTTATTTTTTAAAAACTGTTTTATGTCTAACCAGCCCTTCCACATAGACTCTCGTCCAAAGCTACATTTTGTGACATATTATACAATTGTGAGAATCTGGAATTAAGATGGTCTATTACAGGTTTAATTTTAAACAATTTGGGCTCGGAACGCATCATCAATTCCAAGTTACAACTAGCATTGTCTTGGAAATGGAAACATTTGCTCAACAGCAAGAAACGGTCATACTTCATCGACGCCGAGAATCCGGGTGTACTGAAAATGTCCTCAGTCTTATTCCTTTACTCCGTGAGACATGATTTGACTAAAATTACAGTGGCCAGAATTGTAGCCAAATACACGTGTAGTTCATCGACGTCGGTGGGCTGCCACTTGGTAATACGGCTGTTAAGGCATATGAAGCCTTCCTCCAGAGAGTCCGTTGCCAGCTGTTGAGCATATTTATTTGTTTCACTATCTATGTGTTACATTATTTGCTGACCCTAAATAGCAGTAAATGCTTCATATGGGATCACTAATGAAACAGTGGGACCACAATTAATGTCAGAGAAAGGTTCTCTCCTCAATTCAGGTGGAATGTGAGGTTGCGAGAACGCTCTCTAGTTGAACACAAATTTTGATGACGGTTGTAACTCAGTTGTGGGTTCGGGCTCGGTTGTCTGTTCGGAATCGGTTGTGGATTCGGGATTGGTTGTGGGTTCGGAATCGGTTATGAGTTCGGGATTGGATGTGGGTTCGGGATCGGGGATATTAAAAATCGGTAGTACGGACTCGAGCTGCTGCGCAGCTGCGACTGAGGTGGCCATTGAAATGGCAATATCGCAACAGTTTCTACCACATGGTCGTCCTCGTCTTGAAAATAAAATTGTGCAGCTCCCGGCACCATTGGATTGGGAGGCTTCTTCACTGCCTGAACAAAAACATCTTAATTACTATATCATTAAAATTATTGATAGAATGCCGACACAAGATGTAATAAGAAAAATATCACGTACCATATTTTAGTATTATGCTTATATCACCATCCCTAAGAGGCTGTCTTGGGCGATGGGATGATGAAGATGAAATTCTGTAAATATATATAGAGCAAATCTTAAAATTGAGATCAATTTGATCTTAACACTTTCACTGTCCGGTTTTCAGACACAATAGTAAGACAATAGCAATCACCCATATATAGTACACGGGACAGCGAAAGGGTTAATACATATTTATTTATGCATGTACTCACAAGCACCGTCGCCTTTGTAATCCGGCAGGGGAGTCCTTAATATTTCTCAATATATAAATAGTAAAGTCGATAAAGATACGTTTAGAGTATATTCTTTTAGTTTATGCCAATTTTAGTTTCTTTTTCATTCATACTACTTCTAACCTTACAATATCAAAACTAACCTGGGTCGTTTCGCTGCACGATTGATGCAATTGTTTTTATATTTAATTTCGTTTAACAGAAAATGGTTATGTAAATAAATACATAAAAATGTCAATAATTACAGAGCAGGAAAAGGGGGGGGGGGGGCAGAGCACACACACAGGGTGGCAGGCGTAAGGGAGCTCTCAGGTAGTGTGATCGGTTCTGAAGCTAAGCCGAATGTCATTACCTCCAGGGACGACCATAAACAGTATACAACAAATAATTTGGTTTTTAGAATAAGGCGTTCTAAAAACCAAATTATTATCCCATAGTCGACGCATTATTTTCTACATACATTAAAAATAACGGACATAATTGATGAAAAAAAAATGTATATAGGTGTACACGCACCTAGCCGTCCAAACCAAGGTCGATTCTCTCGGGGCCCATAAGCGGGAGATCCGACGGACGACCAAGTGTGGGGCCGATGCCTTATGGTAAAATGACCTACACAATAGATAATCCTAGATAACTAATAGTACGTACCTGCTTCATAAGCGGAGACTGGTCACCAGGATCAGTCAGGCTGAAGGTGAAGTGCATGTAAGTGGTGTTTGTGAGTGTGTGTGGTTAGGTGGCCTGAACCAGATGGCACGATGTTGCCCCGGAGGTGGTATTTTCCTGCGGCGTCCCCGGTGGCAATTTCTTTCTTCAAGGCACTAGGTCAGTCTATCCACGTCATTGTACATTTAACTAACTTCAAAGAGAGAACTAAATTCCGTTAATCACAGTTAAAGACCCAACACGTGGCGCGACCGACGACCGTGGTACAAAGTTCACCTTCGTTCGCTCCGCGTCAAATTACTTCGAACACCCAACGCGACTCCTTGAGGCACTTAACGAAACGGTGCAATTACATTAACTTCACAACAATTAGACACCCGGCGTATAATATCCTAGGCTATTACTCGACAGTTCCTCGTCGTTGCACGAATTTGCT